AGCAGCAGCAGCAGCAGCAACCAGCAGCAGCAGCAACAACCAGCAGCAGCAGCAACCAGCAACCAGCAGCAGCAGCAACCAGCAGCAGCAGCAACCAGCAGCAACCAGCAACCAGCAGCAGCAACCAGCAGCAACCAGCAGCAGCAGCAGCAACACCGGCAGCAGCAGCAAGCAGCAGCAGCAGCAAGCAGTAGCAGCCGCAGACATGCTACCTTTCGCCCACCCCCGTCTCCTCAAGTATCTGTCTTTCCACGTCGCCCTTCTACAATTACTCAGGCAGCACCTTTTTGTGCTATTGTTTGAGACCAAATGTTGGGGCGAGAAAGACTCTAAGGAAAGCTCACTCTTTCCCTGCTGCTGCTGCTGCTTGGTAGATGGTGGTGCTGCTTGGTAGCTGCTGCTTGGTAGCTGTTGCTGCTGCTGCTGCGGTTGCTGGGGTGGTTGTGTGTTGCCATGTCTTGGCTGTGTTGGGGTCGTATTGGGGGGGCGCTGTTGGCACTCTCCTTCTCCCTTGGCCATGGCATGTTGCGATTCCCGGCCAGGTTTTTGCCGCCTAAAGAGCCCCAGCGTTGTTTCTTTGCCTAGCTTTTGCCACCCCCCTCTGGGCCACAAGTAGCGATGGCCCCCAACCACAATAGCGATGGTCACCACTCTAATAGGGATGGCCTCCAACCTAGTAGCGATGGCCTCCAACCCAATAGCGATGGTCACCACTCTAACAGCGATGGCCTCCAACCCAATAGCGATGGTCACCACTCTAATTGCGATGGCCTCCAACCTAGTAGCGATGGCCTCCAACCCAATAGCGATGGCCTCCAACCTAGTAGCGATGGACTCCAACCTAGTAGCGATGGCCTCCAACCCAATAGTGATGGTCACCACTCTAATAGCGATGGTCACCACTCTAATAGCGATGGCCTCCAACCTAGTAACGATGTAGCGATGGCCTCCTCCACCCTATTAGCGATGGCCTCCAGCCTACTAGGTCTCCACCTGCTTATTTCTGTTTTGAGTGCCCCCTAGAGTCTAATGTGCGAGTCATTCAACCACTTCGCAGCTCATGGCAACTCAACGAGATAACATTATATATGTTTGTCCAGTCAGGCTTATCTATTGTAAGGCCACTCACTGCTTGAGCACGATTTCATCCATTTTCCAGATCAGGACTTGAAATGTACTACGACAAGTGATGCACAAAGCACATCTTGACTTGGACTCGTTCGTGGGCTTGGCGGTCAGATGAAAACCCTATCATTGTCTGAAACATAGTTAACCTGATTCGATGCCAGTTTTCAATGCCTTCAATTTTGAGGTAGGATTTGCCAGAGTCTGGGTGTTGCTCTTGCCATCAGAAAGTGTGGCAGTTTGGCATCTTTTGAGTAGTAACAACATGTTTGCATGTGATTGAATTTCAATGCTAGCTGTAAGAATGCGAGTAGAGGCGTGCACCCCCTCAACTGGGGAAACTGCCACCGCTCAGATTTTCCGGCTGAATGACCAACCCAACAGTGATACTGACGGGAAAACAAGGAACCGGCAGCAAATTGTTTGAAACATGATGAAATGACAAGCGGGTAAAGGCCAGTTGGTCAGTCTGCTGGTCGCTCGCTTTTTGCGATTGAAGCTTCAAAAAATGGGAACCCTGAGTTGGTGTCATGGAGGCCTTGAAGGCTACTAGCTAGCGGCTAGCTGCTTGTGTTGGAATCCATTGAGCTGGCAGCTTTGGCTGTCATTTTTCAGACACGGAGGTGGTGTTGGTGTTTTGGTTGTTGCAAGGCTCGGGCTTTGGAACAGGCACAGTCCAGGGCAAGGAGACAGGTCCATAAGAAACAATTGACAAAAATAGAAGATTAGAAAAAGGAATGAAAGAAAGAAAGAAAGGCAAGAGAAGAGGAGAAGCAAAGGCCTTGCTAGCTTTCGCAGGCTCATGATGAGTGATGCGGAAATAGTTTTGTAGCGCGCCACGAGCGAACAAGCTCAGGCTGGGGCAGCAGTTTCACATCAAGCTGACTGAACAGCATCCTTCAGTGCTTCAAATAGCAAGTTCGGTGCTTCATTTGTGTTTTTGTTCCTTCGGCTTTTGCAGGTCGGAGACCATCGCTATTAGGTCAAGCTTGCGAAATGTCTTCACATGGTGATCACTGCAGCCATTTCTGGCACCATGCTGGTGCCGGGGCTCTTTAGCCGTGAGTGCACCGTGGTCTATGCGGCCTGCCCAGAGGAGAGCGATTGCGATGATGTTGGTGAGAAGGGTGCCTCCAAAGATGAGGCCACTTTGGCTACTTGTCAGACAAACGAGTTCGATCATTGTATTTGTTTGCCTTTGAAAGCCTTTGCTTGGTTCTGAGTTGTATGTTCTGGGTATGCACTTCATTTGGGGGTATACATGGCGGTCATTCCGTTTCCACCCTTGACTTTCGAGCCCTTTGTTTTTTTGTTTTCCTATGCATCGGTCCATTCGGACGGTTCTTAGGATCAGATGCAGAGATCCAAGCTGGAGGATCTCGAAGATTCTCATGTCCGATTTGAAGAAGACATGTTGCTCGGACGGGGAACAAAAGAAGGTGTTAGGGCCGCCCAGGTATCTTTAGTAAAACAGAAATACATGATTTCATGACGTTCAAGACATTAAGTTTTCCTAAAAATCTAGGAACCAAATGAGAATTAGGTTTGAGGCCAGTCCTATTCTGTTGGAGGCCATCGCAATTAGGTTGGAGGCTTGGAGGCCAAAGTCGGAAGCTCCCCCCCGCCCTAAAGGCGGCGGGGAGCTTCCTTGAAGAAGCGTGAGCTATCCTTTGTCCACTAGGTAGTAGCTTCAGCATTGCTAGAAGTGAACTAGTCGCCCTTATTACATAATAGGAGTGGGCTGAAAAAAACAGATATATCGCCCCGAGTGACCTGACGCGTAGCTAGGGGACGAGTTTTATGCTCACTTTGCCTTTTGTTGGCGCGCTTGTGAGCGCGGGACACCCAAGGGCGAGATGCCTGGTCCTTGGATGAACCTTCCAGAAAACCAAGAGTATTTCAAGGAAGTGGAGCTCATTGAGAATGCATACTACAAGCTGAAGCACCATTATGATGACGATGGAGCTCCTCAAAGAACAGGTTTCTGGCAGGTCACCCATATGATGAGAAGAAAAAGGAAGGAATGTGGCTGCAAGGACGTTTGATTGCAGCGAGCGACCCACACTTACAATGGTGGTTGGAAAAGGGAAATGGAAGACTATGAACGAAAGTTTGTGGTTCACCTGTGTGCCACACCGTCGAGTGGATGCAGGAAAACAAAGCGCCACAGGGAACAGGGTGGAACCTATACCGCAAGATCAGTTCAGGGGAGGTCATCAGCAAGGAATGAGTTGGTTCAAGGGAGACGTCGAGAAGAAGGACATTGGTTGTGAGGTTCCTCACGAGAACACCACGGAGCTCTCAGCCCGAGCCGGCTGGATTGGGCAGACGACGGCGCTCATGCTTTGGGTTTTGACAAAACACTTGAGGGTGAGGGTGTCAGAGGACGTTTGGCCGAGCAGCGTGCTGGAGACTGCCCAGTGGGGCAGTGGTCGTGACGAAAAGGGTAGAAGGGCCAAGGCCCAGGTCGTAGATGACAAGGCGCACGGGCGAGGACAGGTCAAAGGATGTAAGAAAAGAAGGGCTGACGTGGCCACCTTGTATGAGATTTAGGGGAGGAACTGCAGTCAGAAGACTCTGAAGGGCCAGCTGGACCTGAAGAGCGGAAGCACAAGTTGGCTGATAAGAAGCATTCTAAGACCCCAATTGGATTCGGCCACCAGGTCGAATTTGAGCTTAATGCACCGAGTCACCCCACGCGTAGTTAGGGAACGGGTTTGATTTTCACATGGCCATTTGGTTTCCAAACTCTTCCCTTTCCTTGTTCCTCCTTGTGCTCTTTATGTTTTTGTCTTGTTCTTTGATACCTCAACTGGTATAATTCACCCTGTGAGCCTGCGGTGTAGAGTTCTTTGGTTCTTTGATACCTCATTGGTTCACCTTCACTTGCGAGTGAGCCTGTGGTGTAAGGCTGAATTCAGTTTACCACCCACAGTCTTCTGAGCCGCAACCTTTGCAAATTCCGGTTGCGAGGTCGCAAAAGGGCTTCACTTGAGCATAACCATATTTTTGTAATTGTATAGATGTATATATACTAATGCCCTAAAATACAAGTCCGAAAGGCAGACCTTCTCAGAATATGATGCTTCCTCGCATCCGAGCTGTGGAGGTATGACGCTGTCACAGTGGCAGCCTTTGGGCAACTAATCTTGGAGCTGCCAACAGAACGTATTCACATACATCCCGCTCCTTGAACAAGTCAAGTCACGTCGGCAGCTGATCACAGTTCCGAATTTTGGGGCCTGGTTCTTTGGTGCTCAACAAGCTTACACCAAAGCTTGCATCTCGGAACCCACAAGGTTTGAGGTTTGGCATGAAGTTTCCACTTGTGCCATTTCCAGCGCATGTAGAAACATGCCCGATGAATTGTTTGTTGCGGCGCGTCTACTTGATCCAACGCGCGCTCGTTGTATTTTACTGTGTTTGGTCGTTGCAGGCATGTCCTTTTCGATGAGGCTACAAGCGCAATCTCTTGTTCCTGTAAATTTCCATCTTGTTGAGTGAAATGATAATAGTGGGAGTTCAGAACTCTTTGAGTATTGCTTCATTTCAGGTTTGGATGTTCGTGCTTTCCGCGCCCTTGTTTGGATTGCAGCAAGCTGCGTTACTGTACCTCCGTCTGAGCCAGGCAGGAGAAAGGGCGCGCGCGCCCTATTTGCGCATAAGGGATTGCAGTTGGTGGCTAGTTTGAGCCTTTCAAGGTTGAAGTTTTTTGACGGAGAACCCTTTCCGATATCTGAAAAACGACTTCAGGTCTAAAGTTGGGCGCCGCTGGCCATGACCCGTAGTGTGCAAAAATGTTTTCCACGTTGAGTTTCAGCTGCCCTGGTGACTCGAGCAATCGTAAGACCTGTTCTTGCAATTATCAGCCAGGGCTTGGCTGCTCTTTATGTAGCGTTTACTATACACTGTATTCTATAATCTAAATATTTTGTGTTCATATATGCATGTTTCTACGTGCTTATGCACATTACTACTCATCGACCAGAGCTGGCAGGGCGTGGCTGCTTTTTCTGTGGCACTTACTACGCACTCATACTACGTTCTACATATACTGCGTTCTTATTGTCATGTTTCTCCCTGCTTATGCACACTACTACAAACGGGAAGAGCTGGACAGTGCTTGGCTGCTCTTTACCTAGCGCTTATTATACACTATGTTCTATGTACTGTTTTCTCACAGTCATTTTTTCTAGGTGCTTATACACACTACTACAAACACATGCCCCATCGGCCACAGCTGGACAGGGTTTGTTTATAATTTTCTCATCTCCATGTTTCCAAGTGCTTCTAACTACAAACTCATCGGCCAGAGCTGGACAGGACTTGGGCGCTCCAGTGCACAATCGCGAGGAGACCGAATCACTGCAGGCGTTTCTCCCGCTGGCAAAGGCAAGACGGGGCAGTAAAGACTTAAAGGAGATGAAGAAAGTTTTTATGTGTGTTGTTTCAGAAGTTTTATGTAGGCCAACCGCGGCGCGTCAGCATAAAATCCTATCCGCTTAGAAGGTCCTTGAGGCAGGCAAAAGCCGGGGAATGCAAGGGGAGGAAACCGGTCGACAACGCGTCGGCAAAACCTCTCATCTCCTCAAGAGCGATCAAAATGCAAAAAACAAACGAAAGTGGTGATCACGGAAGGAGAAGGTTGCAAAGTAGTAAAGAACCCACACAAAGATGTGGGGAAACAAAATCGCAACAAGTTTAAGGTGATCTCACGAAAGGTTGTCTAACGCCTTCGAGGGTGATCTCCTCAAACACACACGCAATGAATCATGTCAGATACACCATGCCCTTTATCAACCTTTGTTTCTTATTGATCTTGTTTGCCTTTCCCTCAACGCCGAGAGCTGCAATGGCACAATCACACCATGCAAACTGGAGCAATTGTCTACAAGGCAAGCCCTCCCTGATTCACACAGGAGGCAAGGCCAGATAAAAACCTGGAAGGGCTTGGCAGTGGGAAAGTTGACACATCGCCTGGGCGAAGCTTGGTGGTTAGAGCGCAAGATAAGTGGACAAAACAAGATTGGTGTGTGTCGGAAAGGGCAAAATGGGTTTCGGTTGCGATCCATCGTGCTCATCTCTTGGGCTGAAGTGTTCCGCAGCAATCTGAAGGATGTCTGCGAGAAGCAACATTTTTTCACATGCAAAAAAGTCCACTTGCTTTGCGTCCTGTTTTGTAACGCACATGAACAGACCTTGATGATCTACACCATGGCACTGATGCTTTTCCCAGAACTTTTGGGCGCCTTGCGGCTGATGATGTTCCTGGTAAACCCCACAACCTGGACAGACATCGAGCGCTACAAAAGTGAAGCCCGGACACGACATGCACGCGGCATGGGAGGGCAGAGGGTCTTCAGATCTTTAGACCTTTTAGACCTTTGGTTACTACTAGTAAGGCACTTGTTTCTAATAGCAAACATTGTTACTACTAGTAGCGTCCTTGTTTCTAGTAGTAAGGCCAGGAGCCCCTAGTAGCGTCCTTGCTCCTAGTAGGGATGCCCTTTGCTCCTAGTAGCTTCTTGCTCCTAGTAGTAAGGATGGGCCAGAAAAGTGAGGGATGGAATGGTCATCCCATTGTTGTGACAATCCGCTTTGAGGTTTCCCTTATTTCACTTGAGTCCATTCCCACGACGATTTTTTTAAGAATAAACCAACATCTTCGTTGGCTGCATTGTTTTGGAGAGCAAATCTAAAGGCATATCTCCTAAGTTAAGTGGAAGTAGCAAAGAACAGCAGGTTGGAGGGTGCAGGCCATCACAAGAGCAAATAACAATCACCCGCGCTCCGATCCATGAGAATGATATGTGTTTTGTGCTTTGGGAAGCCACCCCTTCAGTTTACCTGTGGCCAAAAGCCTTCGTGTTTTACCCGTTCCCCAATGTCAGCCCTTGAGCTGTTGCTGAGGAGTGGTTGCCTTGCATTTGGTCTCCTTTTTGTCTCTTGGCAAATGAAATCAATCAAATTCTAGAATTTCAATCCTGGACTTTCTCAACTCCAACACTGATTGATGGCCTGGATTTTGCATTGAGTCTTCGGATCGTTTGATGCCCCGTTCGTAGCGTCCTTGCTCCTAGTGGCGAGGCCAGGAGCCCTAGTAGCGTCCTTACTCCTAGTAGTACGGCCAGGAGCTCCTAGGGACCCAAAAGGTACATGAGTGATGGCAAATGCTTCGAGGCGTGTGCCCAGTGAGCTTGGCCAGTGAGATGCTGAAGTTCTGTGTGGGATATGTCGTTTTGACCGACTCTGTGAGTATCGTGCTGGCATGCAACTCCGTCCAGGACAACATCAAGACATGAACAGACAAGAAGCCAACTGGAAGAAAGCGAGTAGGAGACACATCAGCTCGGCCCGCTGTTTCTTGCACGCTTAGTCCTTTCAGCTGCATCCGGCGCATCAGCCAGTTTGGAGGTCCTTGCGATGCCCTTTCTTACTGGTAGTGAAGTGTCCTTGTTCCTAGTAGCAAGGCCAGGAGCTACTAGTAGCTTCCTTGCTCCTAGTAGCGATGCCTTTTCTAGTAGCGTCCATTGCAAACAGCAACATCACATTCATGTCGACTCAGCTGTTGCCATTGCTGCTTTACTTGCTTGACTTTATCAGAAGGCTGCTTGGGTTGGCCTTCCTGTAAGTCGTTGCAATGCCAAAGGATGTGGGTTGAGCTTTGCCGGGTTTTCCGGCACTGGTCCTTGTCCGGATGGCAGTAGGAACTGATGACGTGAGTTGCAGCAAGATGCAATGGTTCTTGCCGTATGTTTTTTTTCAGGACACAATCTTCAACAGCTTGGCATTGACCTTCCTGGTCGAGCTGGACAACAAGCTTTGGGAAGTCGCAAGGAGTGTGTTCCACCTTCGGTGCCTCAGCTGCACTGCACTGCGACCACAGCAACGAAACAGTTGTTCTTGGCTTCCCCCCATCTCCCGGCATTGCCTCCACCTCATGATGCGCCACAATCATGACTCGACTCTGGTGTTCACCATGTGCTCATTTTGCTTTTCGTTTGGCACTCGAGTTGCAAGGTATGAAGGAGAGCAGTTCAAATTGAGACCAGAGGCTGAAAGGGACGCTACAGCGAGCAGCTTGGTGTGAGTTGACCGCGGATAGATAGCTGTGACTGGTGAGTTTCTTTCGTTGGTCCTTTGGATCCTGTTTTTCTTGTTTAAGCCCCGGGGGGGTAGGCCGTAGAGGTAGTAGCTAGAGAGGTAGCTAGTAGCTACGTAGCTTACACAGTGTAGCCTATCTAAGTTGGTGTCCCAGCTCGGACTTTTGTGCCTTTGACCTGGATGGGCAGACTTTTGACAAAGTTTGGTGATGTGGAAAGGACCAATGCTTGGACTTTCCGCTGGGTTGGGATCTTGGCCATTGCTAAGAATAGATAGCTCTCCCCTGATTTTCTGGCAAAGTTGTTTCGAATCGTTCTGACTTGTTCAAGAAAAGAAAGAAAGAAAGGATGGTCTGAAAAATGCAGTGCAGTTTGGGGATTGCTGGGTTGAGGCCAAGTTTGGGGAATCCGTCCGCGCAGCTGGCTGCACCGGAAACATGGTGCCGCCGCACTGGAAGCGTGTTTCACATCAGCAGTGTTCATGTTTTGCTACTGCCGGCAGTTCCTCATCACTGAGTATTCATTGAGGACCAGATACATCTTCTATAGATTGGAATTTTGCCAGATTGGAGTCTATTTTCTTGTCCTTGATTCGGAATGGCTTTATGAACGGAAAGAAGCGGCGAAACATAGGAGCTCCCTGAATTTTCCAGACCTGTTTTCGTTTGTACCAGGACTGATACACTCCCAATGGCCCGCGACATGTGCACGTTGTGGGAGCTGACCAATAAAAACAGCTGGGTGGGGGAGCTGGCGCGCTGCACCCTAAGGCAATGGTTTGAGAATGGTAGAGTTTTTGGCAGAATTGAGAGCTTATTCTCTGACCAACATTTTTCTAAGAATGTACAAACCAAATGAACTATGCGTGAGCTATTTTGCGTCCATGTCGAAGCTAACTTAGCCCAGTAGCGAATTAGTTTTCTGCCTTACTTCACCTATTTAAAGAAGTAGGAGCGAGCTTAAAATAACGAAAGACGAGCGCAAACTAACAGGCTAATGTGCTTCGGAGCTCATCCCAATGGCTTACTGCAGATGGTGTGTGACCCCCTCTATGGTGGTTATTGCAGCCCCAAGTTTCGGCGGAGCCTTGGTCCAGAATTTTCTCGAAAAGAATTCTTTTTCAGATTTGTTTTATTAGCAAACATTGCTCCTAGTAGCGATGCCTCTAGTAGCGTCCTTGCTCCTAATATGTTTTCAAACAAAAAGGTTATTTCAGAATTTATACATTTTTGCATCCATTCCAATCCCCATCCTGGGTCCTGGAAGGCCACAGTGGCACCACTTCTTTTCATTGACCCATCGTTTTTGGAGTAAGGATCGAGCTAAACGACATGTACGAGGTGATTCTTGCTGAACCCACTGCCACAATCTCCAATATGGTAGCTTGTAGCAAATCAAGGCAGACTGCCTTCTTTGATTCAATATCACGATTTTTGCTGCCAAGGGGGTTTCAATTGTTTCAAGGTGACCTTCGCGGTGGTACTGTTGATCCCTCAGATCTTTCAGCTGGCTTTCCTGCCAGAAAGAGGAGAAGATCAGGCTGCCTCGCCTGTGCGGCTTGATGGTTCATTAATAACACAATCACACCACCTAGCTAGAAGCACTACCGCTGGAACTTGCAAGCCTTGTCAACATTGTTTCCGGGTCAACTTGTGATGTGATTGGTTGTGGACCAAATTTGTCAAAACGAAGACCAGCGCCACTGTACCCATTGCATCCATGTTCCATTCCATTGTTCTGGCATGCAGCCTTTTGATTTAGATCTTTTGCTGGACGTGGGTTTGCCTCTCAAGCGCCCGACGCGTTATATAAAGATCGAGGGTGTCCACTTCATTGTCGTCCTTTACACTGAGTCAACTGCCGGAAGGAGGTAAAGCATAAATAGAATCAGACCCATAGCAATGGCCAAAGCAGCCGATATGAGAGCATACCAGACCCGAACAGGATAAGTGGATGCCGTTAACGAGCACGAAAATTGCAAAACTGTCAACAAGTTTTTGTTGATTCAGCATTTGGTTCGAAGAACTCGGTTTGCTTGTCTTTCAGGCGTCAAGGAGTTCATGTGAAGAAAATGGCAGTCCAGAAACTGAAGGCAAGTTACTGAAAGCGCACGAGTCAACAAAAAGACTTGCTGCGCTGCTGGGGGAGTGTTTGGTTGTTGCCTGTCAAGTTCCTTTGCGGGCATGGGGTTGACACGAATGTCTATAAATAATGAATCATAGAACGCATTGCCTCGCTTTATGCTGTATTGAGCACCAAGAACATAACTTCCATGAATACCCATAATTCCCCGTATGTTGTATCAGTGTCCGAGCCTCACAAACCTTTAATCTCAGGACTCAAATTATGAGGAAAGAATAGAGAGAGGGCGCTGCAGGCATGGTTTGGGAACTTCTTACAAACGCCCAGATAAAACCACACATATGACAAAAACAATAACATGTGTATGAATGCCAAGATCGGAATGTAAAAACAAAATCGGAGATTTAGACATATCAATTCTTTTTGATCCAGAACTAAACGCCTCTAGGTTAAGAAATCCATAAATTAGGGATTGAAAGGAATTTCAAAGGACCAAAATTCCCAAGAAAGCATACGCGAAAAGAACCATAAAAAAATATGCATTTGAAAATATAAAAAATTGAAATATATTTATAAGAATATGTTCATTTACTTCCAGCCTGAGTGAGGTTAGGCCCGTGTTGGGTAGCACAGCAACTAAGCTGCGGGTGCTTCAGGAGCATCTAGCCACAGTCACGAAGCATGCGAAAGCGAAAAGTGCAAAGGCTCATTCGGAAAAGGCCGTAGCTAGCAAGTCGGACAGGTCGACGGTGATGTTCTCTATGGGTCTCCGCCACCATCTGCTTGCGGAACCAGCCAGAACAAATAGGCTGAGCGGCGGGATTGGATCAACTACCGGGCAGCCTGGTCGCCGTCTTGCCATCATCAGTCAGCCAAGAACTTCCCAAGCTGAGAAAAAGACATTGGTGGTGGCCGCTGTCAGGACTATTTCTAAAATGACAAACAATGGCCATCACACGGTATTGGAGCCAGCTGACATCCCTGCCGACGCTATTGTTGAAGATCGGTACGTGGACCTCAGCACGAGAGAAGTCCACGGGTGTGTCTCGCTTCAAAGCAAGGGCAGGAAATCTTTCGAGTTGCAACACTATGCATGGGTGGGTATGGATGCAGGCATTCGTGTATGGTTCCTGACAATGCCACATGTTGATCAAAACTTGCAGGTCACATCTCTTTTCGTCCGGCATACGAAGGAGCAAGGGTGCAAGGAGTACACCTCGGTCTTCGGTGGAGTGGGCCAGGCGGACTCCTGTCCCCAAACATGGCTATGGAGGTGTTGTCCTCGAAGCCAACCCAAAAATTCTGCTGCATCCTGCTGGTTAGTGGGAGTATGATGATTGAACCAAGGTTGCAACAGGCGTCAGAGGTGTCCTCCACTGACCCCATAGCTCAGGATCAAAGCCCTCATAGGCCCAAGTGGCCCAAAACTGCCCCAACAATGCTGCATTGATGTAGCAGGCATTGGATGAATTGTAAAGCTTGGTGCGAAGCAGTTGGCGTATTAGCGTTTCACACGGTGGGCGATTGCGATAGCAAGCGAGGATTTTTGCAGGCCTGTTGGTTTTAAGCGTAGCAGAATCAACTGGCAGATCCCGTTTCCGCTCACGGTGTTGAAAAGCTCGAACAACTGGGTCGACGCGGCGCTCCGGAGGCTGATATCGAGGCGCCGTGGTATCGTCACCTGGGAGTCGTCCGGGATCTGATTTCGATTCATGGGCTTGAGAGCGGAGAAACGTTGGATGAGATCTTCCTGATTGGCTAGCTGTGAGAGCTGGATGGTGAGTTCCTGAACCTTTTCCTGCGGTAGTAGTTGTAGGTCGAAGGCATTTGGCCGCACTGTTCCAGGCATTCTCGGCTGTCCGGGCTGTCGTACTTCAATTTCGTCAATCTCTGAATTAGAATCTCAACTACTTTGAGGAAATTGATCTGTCGAAGGGAGTAGGTGACACCAGTGTTCTATTTCTGATGATGCCATTCCTTTCGTTGCTAATATTATTTCCGGCAGGATAGAGTCCCTTCCGGCCTGAAGAAAAGGAAGGTTCTGTCCAAAGACGTCTGATTGATCATATCTTCCTGGCGTAAGGTCAACTTGGCCAACATCATCAAAAGCTCGGAATCCCCTTCGTGCTTCGAAGAAGTGGTTGAGGAGGCGGATCGGAGTTTCGATTTGCCTTTCTTAGTTGTTTTGCCCTTTCTTTTGGTCTTTGTGTTTTCTTGGAAGTTCTTCACTCCGACCCAATTAAAACTTTGTAAAACGCAAACGGGGTGTCGGTATCGCGTTGTAAAGAGGGCTTAAGCGGTACCGAAGCGGCGCCGAGGCAGCGCCGCGCATGTAATAGAGGGCCCGAGCAGCACTGAAGCAGTGCACTGTGGTCATTTTAACACTAAAGTGCATACAATTGATCCGAAATGCCCATAAGCTGCATAGAAGGACAAACAGACTTTTTCCAAAGCTGATCTAGCAGCTCGGCCTTCTGACCGCTTTTAACCCACCTTTAAGTAAGGCACGTACACCAGTAGATTGATTTTGCGTTGATACGTAAACTACAAATAAGTTGATCACGACGATTTTACCTTCAATTTTGGCCTCCTTCTGACAATGGCACCTAGGCGAAGCAGTTGAATGCAACTCGTTTGCATCCATCATTGCCCGAATGTGGCAGGCCCGGAAACTGATTTAAGCACTAATTGATCCGTCGATCGCTTCCTTTTTCACGGCTGGAAACATCCTACTTTGTTTTGACGATGTCATAAGCAAGTTCCCTAATTTAGCCGCCAGAAAAAGAAATACAAGGTCGAAATCTTCTTTTAGGAAGGTGATGATCTGATTATATGTTATTAAATATATGATTGGCATCGCGAGGTCCGCAAATTATGTCTTAAGCAACGTCCCTAAAAGATTTAGATGTATTATAATTATGGACAACCCTCAATCTATTCTTAGATTTCCAACGGATTGAACAATTCGTTTTTTGGCCGACTTTTTCACGATGCATCTTTTTAGTAGCCGGGTAATATTGTTTTTAAAGCCTTTCTATTCATAGGACGATGTGTTGCAGGGTCTTCAGAATTTGCTAGCTACGAAGGCCTAGCTCCACCTTGCATGCCCAAACTTCTGGTTCCGATCTATGCAGCTATTGAATGCCATTGGTGTGCAGAGCAAGTGGTAGCAGCCAGTCGCTTGCGTGCCCTGATTCCTAAGCCAGGTAAACCTAGCCACACAGCCGCGGCACTGGGACCCATTTATTTCCAGCATCCAATTCTCAAAATTGTGTCCAAGATTTTGATTACCTACATTAAGCATATGCCAAACACCGCACTTGGAAGCTTGCGGCTCTGTACATACGTCCCGCCGGGAGGCACCACAGAGTGTTTCCTTCGAATCTGACAGCACTGCCATCAAATTGGCTAGCTTTATCGGGACAGGCAAATGGATGCCAGTCCTCGAGAGCTATACGGAGGTCTTTAAGTCTCACTCGACATGGAAAAGGCATTTGACACAATCCGTCATGACAAAGGCTTCAAAAGGATCAAAGGGATTTATCAGAGTGCGAGCTAGTGTGTAGTATGTGTGTGTAGTTAAGGTAAAACGTGGGTCTCTGTGTCTGAGGTGTATGTGTATGTATATAACCCTTGGAATCAGAGGGAACCTTAAGGTGTGGAACAGGGGGCGTGACGGTCGATTTCCTAGTCACGCCAATGAAGCTATGGAAATCGACTAGAAGGAAATTTAGACGTAAACTTTATACCTGTTCCCTATTTAGGAAAACAAGAGGAAATGGTATTCGACACATTTGTATGTCGGTGTCTTTCCTTCTGTTTTCCTCTAAGGCTACCCCATAGGTTGCAGGTAGGCCTCCAAACTTTGTAAGGGGTTTACCTAAACCCTGGCCTCCACCCACTAGAATGGCCCAACTTTTGCTGTTTTGCTGTCTTGTTTATCTTGCGTTTCTTGTTACCCACTAGCGCTTCGACGGTCTCCAACCCAAGAGCGAAGACCTCCAACTTTGACCGCTTTGCTATCTTGTGGTTTAGAATTTCCAACCTATTGGCGATGGCCCCTCAACCTGCCTTCGACGGCCTCCAACCTAAGAGCGAAGACCTCCAACTTTGACCGCTTTGCTATCTTGTGGTTTCATGTCTTTAACCTACTAGCGATGGCCCGTCAACCTGCCTTCGACGGCCTCATTCTAAGTGCGAAGACCTCCAACTTTGACCGCTTTACTAGCTTGTGGTTTCTTGTCTCTAACCTACCAGCGATGGCCTCTCAACCTGCTTTCGATGGCCTCTAACCTAAAAGCTATCGCCTCCATCTTGTGCACCTTGTTTTACTCAGCTTTTTTACCTACGCTGATGGGTGGCACCGCATTCAGTTCAGTACACAATATCTCAAGTGTGTGAGTCCCTTTGAGCATTCAGGCTGCTGGTAGAGGAGAGGGAGAAGTAGCGTGTACGCCCCCAAGAAATCTCACTAAAAAAAGCATGCTGGAATGAAACATACTAAAATTATACAACAAAATTGCCTATTTTCTTCCAGCTCGATAGATTGCTCTGCGTGCTAAAATTATTTTACCAAGTCCCAGTTGTGCATATCAATATCAACACAACAAATTACTCACGTCGCCAAAAAAAAGCACAGGTAACAAGGCCATCTGCTTGCAGAGACTGCAGATTCGTAGCAACGTTGGCGTCCGTATCAATCGGAACAACCATCTCCGTGACAGCATGAAGTTTGAGGAGTTCCTGCACATAGCTCAACGCCTATCCGGCATTCTTCCTCTCACGTCCTTGGTATTCTTCAAAGGCAACCAAAAGGTCTGGACACACTTGTCCATTTGGACCCACAAAAATTTCATCAACCACTTCCGTGGCCGGATCCTGGCGATGAACTTTCTTCCAACCAACCCTTCAACCCCAGATCATCCACTCCAGGCCGCCTGAATACGACAGGCTCAGCTTCCTCCTCTGGATCCTCAATGTGCTGCAAGACTGAATCGCCATATTGATGACGCCAAGCTTCAACTGCGAAAAAAACAGCTTTCTTGACATAAAGTCTCCAAGTCCTGTGCGAAGCAAAAGTCAAGTGTTGATACAAGAGTGGAAAAATGATTTCAGCCGCGCTCTTCCAATGACGGCGTCGATATGATGCCGTCAATCGCATCAGGGTACGCAACGTGTCAGCAAAAATTTTGTTGCGACGCCCCGGCAGGTGTTCCCCAGCGGCTGGCGATGCGTTGGCCAACCCCAGCAAGCGTTCTCGGACCTCAGATTTGCGTGTGTCATGCTCAGGTCTGTAGCCTGTCTGCCGAATGGGATCCACGTAGTACTCATTTGGCTCCCCGCAGGGGATCCATCAGTGCTTTCAAGCCCGGGCCCGGTTTTGTTGTATAGTTGTTGACATAAAAGCCTGTATTGGTACCATCACAAAAGGCTTCATTGACACTGATACTGATCGCTTGCGACAGCTCCACATCATGATCTCCAGCTTCCTCTGCCTCCTCCGTCTGCGTCGGCTCCGCCGCTGAAAACTTGGATTTGTAAGCATGACGCTAGGCACGACGAAAAGATGTAACCAAACTCTTCTTCCTACCAATCCAAGAGACAGGTTCCTCAGCAAGCTTCGGTCGAGCTTCATACTAACAACCAGTCCACTCCCAAGAGACCATGTATCCAAGAAAAGCAAGCGAGCCAACGTGTGGAAGCTCGTCGTCATGGTCCAACCATAAATGCGGACTGACCACCCGACGCATGTTTTGCAAATCTAAATTGTGTCTCCTCGAAACAGTTCCACCATAGCAAGTTTGACATTCGAAGGGAGACAGTTGAATTGGGCGCAATCGCCCTTCCATGCCATGAGCAGCTTCGTCCTCATGTTTGCGCATGTTCATAGGCCAGTGTTCAGGAGCCATCTCTGGTCGTTCAATTTGGAGAGAAATCCTTCTTTCATTTTTTGTTGTTTTTTGATGCACGTTACAAAGGATGGGGTTTGTTGCAAGCTGCGCCAGGCAGCCGCCTGGCCCCGGTTCCATTTTAAGCATCAACGATTGAATTTTCCCTTGCAACGCGGTGTATAGGGTTTTTGCGGCTACAATCAAGCCCTGGGTTGGGTCAGACAATCTGTTGCAGTGCGTGGTACTGTCTCGTTACCGTTTCAGGACGGCCCGGGCTCTTTATCATATTTTCATTATGCACGACCAGAACATAATAAAACAACGTACCCCTTTTTTCCACTAAAAACCTACATTCTCAAACAAGCAACATTTCACCTCCTAAATCCAATAATCATCAACGATTCCAACAGTATAAACATGAAAAAACCCAATAAACCAAAATCCAATTAAATTTGCCCGTTAAAAAAATAAACCTAGAACGACAGAAAATCAAAATATAACTTAAATAACGATTCATTAACATACGAATAAATTTATAAAAATTCATTTACCTTTTCCCATGAAATATCATATACTTGCCAACACACCTAAACGACGACAGCCTGCACCTGCCCGGACACAGAACATCCGCCCGGACATCTGAACACATTCCAGTGGAACGCATCCAGATCGATGAAAACGATTCCTGAGTGGTGTGACACCAGCCCATGCGACATCATCGTCGTTAATCCCAACAATGAGTGGAGCTCACATAATGCACTCTTCAGGTCATTTTGCTTCTGTCTTGTTTGTGTTGGACAGGATCAGATTTCGATTGCACACCATGCCCGTGGCCGCCTGCTTCAGGTACGACTGAATCTCGCAAGATCACATGATTTCGTGCTCGTTGACCATCCCTGCAGCACGGAGTTCGTCATTCTTTCAAAATAAAAGCACATTTGGAATTTCCTGCAGCACTGTTTTGAACGCCTGCCTCAGAGACATCAGGTCATGGTCGCATTGAAATAGAGGGTCCGAAGCGGCGCCGTATGCTTCCGCTTTGGTGTAAGTTTGCTCTTGAAATTATTATCGTTGGTGGTAATTTGTTTCTTACCTCGGGTCTTCGTGGATTCCGACCTTCTGTTGTATTTGTAACACGACGATCTCCTCTATTTCGCACTCGACACAAAGGGTTGCGCGCCAATCGTCAAACCTTTTTATATTCCTCCCATGCAGGAACTCCTTCAAAGGTTTTCCCATTCATTGCAGATGGCCAGTGTGCCATTGGAGACCTTAGTCGCTATTGCCAAGGGGCATTTGCGAGTTCGCTTGCTGTTGGATCTGCAGGACTAAATATGGTCCCCTGACCCGTAGAATCCATGCCGCCTGGCACTGCGACACAAATGGGATTACCTGGTTCATATAGAGACGAATTATAATCACAAATCATGGAAACACCAATTTAATCACCTTAGACACATATAGCTAAATAGCATGGTAAGCTAACCACTCTGGCCCACAAGATCCAGAGCTTGATACAGCCCGCTGAGCCGCATCAAGTTATCTACGCGCTCAATCCTACATATCCACCATGTGACACACATGCATATGTTCCGCCGACGCCACCCATGTCTCAGCCCTCCAAAACCTGCCCTGTGTCTTTCGACCTTGAAGAACCATGTGTCAATATTCCAAGCATCAAATTCATCACGGTCTATGCATTAAAAAACTTAACTACGTGGCCCGAAAGTTT